AAACCACACGGCGTATACTTGAATGTCAACTATCATGTATGCGATGTTCCTTTTTGTTTGGTTTCTGTTGCAAGAATGGTCTTGCAAGGTTTTTAGACTGTTCTTGGAAAGGACTGTTTAATGTTATTGACTCCTGAAGGCGAGAAGATTTCAATCACTCGACACGGCACTTTGCTGTACCTGACACCATCACTTGAACCATTCTCCAATGTTCCACCAGAACTCACTGCGCACTTCGAAGAACACATGAGAGAACGTTCCACTGAATTGAGTCATATCACTACCGATGAGAGTACGGTTATGACTCGAGATGATCCACTTGAGAAATTGGAATCCCTCATTGGAACTATCAAGCCAAAGTACTATCATGTTGATGAATGGCAACTTGATGAAGCAAACTACAAATTGGTGAGATTTCACAAACGACCAAGAAGAAGTCTGTTTACTCCTGGCCCTGGATGTCCTGTTGAACTGAACCAACTCTCAGGAGTTCGAACCACTTACCTGGACTATGGACAAGGTAGGACAGACAAGATCGTGGACTTTGACCTCAAGAACTTGTCAGAACCAAATACTAGACAGGATGAGTTTTGGAAAGGTAGAACTGTTTTTCTCCTCAACTCACCTCCTCCTAGTCGTAGGCATTTGACTAAAGGACCACCTCCAGGTGTTCCAACTCCAGCCTCTGAGGATGTAAACACTGAACAGGTTCAAGATACTGAAGTCACTGAGGACACTTCACTGAAGTCACGAAAGCGACACACTGAGGAACTACGCTGTTCACTGGATGAAGATGTGATCGGCAAGAAACTGACAGCCGAACTGCTGTCATGTACTGCCTGGAACTGGAACTCTAGTTACCTTAGGGTGAAGCTAACTGAACTTTTCTTCGTCCCAGATCCAACCACTGGCGAACAAAGGACTGGTGACTACTGGTTTCAACTTCCACTTGCATGGGTCAGATTCCATTACCAATTAAGAAACACGCTGTATGAGCCTGACTTCACTAACGGAGGACCAACTGAGGACCAACTTGGTTCATTGCGTTGGATTGTTTTCGTGAAATCACCGGACAGACCCAAGAGTGATGGAATGACTTACTGCAACTGGTGGAGAGAAGAAGATCAGAAAACTGATCAATATGAAGTAGGACTTGATGTAGGACATAGTTGGATCGGATACACCATCTTTGAGCCTGCACCACTGGAAAACTTCACTGAGGAACCAGAACAGGAGACGTTTGATGTCACTGCGCGTAAGCCTCAGGCACTGACTTCTCCACTGGAACCGACACAGCAAGAACGAGAACTTCACAACTTGACACACTTACCATACCGTAGCTGGTGTGAAATTTGTGTCAAAGCAAAAGGTAAAGAAACTCCATCCAGAAGAAACTTGGACAGACAACTGGTCATCCAAGTTGACTACTGTTTTCTGACAACTGGTGATGGATGCCCAACCGTGACTGTTCTCACTGCTGTAGACATTCAAACTGGACTTGGTTCTGCTGTTGTGACTCCTAGCAAAGGTAGAGACCAGTACTGTATTGCTGAACTGAAACGTTTTGTTTTTGAGATTGGAAGAACTTATGGTATCATTCAATACGACCCGGAACCTTCACTGAAGGCTTTGGTTTCAGAAACGCTGACTGAACTTGGCGGAATGTCCATGGGAGCAACTCCACGTGACTGGAAACAGGCACATGGTTTTGTAATTGTACGTAAATCTCAACAAAACTTTTACGGTCAAGCAAGAGCAATCAGACTGCAACTGCAGGAGCGATACAAAGTGCAAATTTCCGTGCAACATGCCGTTTATCCATGGATTGTGAAACACGCTCAGTTTACTTTGAACCGTTTTCTCACTCACTCTGATGGAAACACCTCATACTTTCGACGTTGGGGAAAGAACTATAGCTCGACGGTGTGTGAGTTCGGAGAAACTGTTCTGTTTCGTTAACCTGGAAAACTGAAAGACAAAGGAGACACTGCATGGAGCACTGGCATGTGGTTAGGACGTGACACTGAGGCTGATGAGCACATTGTGTCCACTGGAACTGGCATCACTAAGGTGAGAACTATCAAGCGACAGGTCCCATCTAAACAATGGGATCAGAAACTGTTTCTGAAACTTCAGGCGACTCCTTGGGATCTAAAAGCAAAACAGGTGATTGACACTTCATTTGTTTTGCCTCCAACTCTGACTCCCACTGGAAGAGTCCGTGAACCACCAGGACTCGAACGTGAAACTCAAACGGACACTGAGGATTTACCAACGAAAGAGACTTATGAGACTGTCACTGAAACGCAAGACGACTTGAAACTTGAAACGCTTGAAACGACTGAAGCTGAAACGAGACTTCCACCAGAAACGAGAGTTAGAAACGAAAAACGAACTGCTGAAAATCAAGAACTTCCTGAAGACTTGCTTCCGGATGACAAACGACACTATTGCTGCAATCGGAGTTTTCTCTGTCACTTTGAAAGACGGAACTGAAGTTCCCGTCGCAGTAAACGAAGACACTGAAGAGAAACAGACGGAAATCAAACTGAATGAACCTCAACTGTTGAGAACTGAACCAGAATTTCCTGATGAACTTGTCATCGAAGGCATGCAAAAGGAAATGAAAAGCATGAAAGAATTTGATGTGTATGAAGAAGTTCCAATAGAACAGTGCTCGCAAGAAGACATTGACTCCGCACTTGACTGTAAATGGGTGAAAGGCTAGAAAACTGCAAACACTGTCAGATGCAGACTCACTGCTCGCGGGTGCTTTCAAGAAAACATGGATCAAGACACTCTGTTTGCAAGTACACCTACACTGGTGACACTCAGAGTACTGCTTGTTATGATGTTGTCTAGAACATGGTCATGCTTTACTTGTGACATAAGCACTGCGCTTCTTCATGCACTCATGATGGACCGTGTAATGCTGATTCCACCAAAAGAGTACTATCCTGGGCAGAACTGCCTCTGGAGACTGAAGCGAGCAATGTATGGTTTGAAGCAAGCGCCAGCGCTGTGGCCGCAACACTTTTTCTCAACGATGCTGAAAGTCGGAATGAGACGCCGCAAAGCTGATCCGAACTTGTACTGTCATTCTTCTGGGGACTTGTATGTCCTTTGCTACGTAGATGACCTTTTGGTTTGTGGAAAGCACGAACTTGCCGTGCAATTCACCAAAGACTTGGAAAAGGAAGTTTTACTCAAAATTGAAGCTAAACTGAAGCCTGATAAGTCAGTAAATTTTCTTGGACGCGTTTTGCGACATAATGGCGATAGCGTAGACATTTGCATGCCGCAAGACTACATCACTAAGACGCTGGACTTGTACAACATGGTCAAGGCTAAAGCGGTAGGAACTACGGGTACCACTAGCTTTTCACTTCGACTGGACTTGGATGATCCACTAAGCACTGACGAACACAAAGTCTATCGCACTGCTGTTGGAAAACTGTTGTGGTTAGCTCTGATCAGACCAGACATGTCCTGTGTGACTAAGGAACTTTCAAGAGACCTGACTGCACTGACAAACTGAAGTTTACTGAAACTGAAACACCTACTGAGGTACCTTGCTGGAACTAAGGACTATGTGCATCGACTTCGTGCGGGGATCACTCTTAGTAGCAACAATTGCACTCTTGATTTGGACTGTTTTGTGGACAGTGACTGGGCTGGTTGTGAGCGAGCTCGAAAATCAACTTCAGGCGTGGTTGTTAAACTCCTCAACTGCCCTGTAGACTTTTGTGCAAGAACTCAGGGTACTATCGCGCTCTCCTCAGGAGAAGCCGAGCTGTACGCGATAGGACAAGGAATTTCCGAAACACTGTACGTAAGAAACTTGATTCTCGATGCGGAACTGGCAAAGAAAGTCAAGCTCCACATTCACACGGACAGCACAGCAGGAAAGAGCATGGCAACTAGGTTTGGCTCTGGAAAGAAGCCTGAACTCTTTGAAAAAGATGATGGCCTTATTGTGCAAGGTCTGTTGTCTTCGCTGTGCAGATGTTTTCTGCACTGCGTGTGCGCCGCGTCTCCGTAATGTAAAGGTACTCCTCTTTACTTCGCTGTCCTCGCTTTTCTACGCGTCAGCGTGTTGCTCTGCGGTTTGTTGTGTTTTTGCAAACCTCAAACACTGCTTTTTATGAAAACACTTTGGCAGTGAATGTCTTTCAGTGCTGAGATGTGTTTCATGTTGTGACACCAAACTGTGTTCCATGTTTTTGAACAAGGTTTGTGTCTCTGTCAATTTTTATAATACTGAATCCACTTCATTTTATGTTGTGTCCGCAACGTACTCTTTCAAGGTGTGGGTGGGTGGGACCTCAAATTTTTATGAGGAAACCAAATAGCATGGGGGGTCGTTGATGGATTTTCATCATTTGGGCTGAGTGCCCTGCTGACAGTTCTTTGAAGTTGCCTTGGGAACATGGATTCTGGAAGACAGTTTTTGAGAGTCCAACTGAGCCCAATGGTATCATGGACTGGAAAGTAGCAGAGCCTCCACTTTTTGTCCCTTGTGCCTCCCGCGCTGAACCGGCGCCTGCCAAGAAGCTTCGTGTGTCAGAGCCTCTATCATGGCACCACATTGTGCGTTCAGGTGCTGAACAAACGTGGAAGGACAAACGTGAAGCTGATTTTCAAGTGGCATTACGTCGTTGGCATGATGTTTTGATTCTTTTGCCTTGCAGTATCATCGTGGTTCAACAGCTTTTGCATTTGAAAACAACTGCAGAGAGATTGCGTATGTTGAGGGATGTTTTCTGGAAGAAAGCGCCCAGCACGCTTAGGAAACGTGTGCATTCATTCTTGAGGTTCACTTCAGACTTGGAAACCCGTCGAATTGCATTTCCTGGCGCTGAAGCAGATTTTTATCATTTTTTGGATGGACTCAGAGTTGCCGGAGCCCCTGCATCTAGGATTCAGAGCATAATACAGTCTTTGCTCTTCGTGCAGCATGTTGTGGGTGTTAAGGAACTTGACTCCCTGACGTCATCCAGGCGATGTCTTGGCGTGTCAGGTTGTCGCAACACTGGGCCGAAGCGGCAGGCTGATCCCTTCAAGGTCACAGACTTGGTAGCGTTGCACAGTGTTCTTTTAGACAGCAGCAGAGACAGTTGGGATCGTTGCATGGCTGGTATGATTCTTTTAGCTGTTTACTCACGGAGTCGTTGGAATGATCTACAACAAGCTGAGTCCATGTTGTTGGATTGTGGCCCAGATGGAGTGGTTGCCTATGCCGAGCTCAAGATAGCGGATCACAAAACGAAACATTCAACTGCTTTTCGAAATTGTTTTTTGCATGCATGTGCTCCTGCTGCAGGTGTTGTCGATGACGGCTGGATCACTGTTTGGACGCAGGTCCGTGCTGAGCTTGGAATTTCATTTGAAGCTGGCCATCCAACTATGCCAGCACCTTTGGAGGACGGTGGTATCAGTATGAGGCCCCTCAGCAGTGAAGAGATGAAACAATGGACATCAATTCTTTTGCATTCAGTTCAGATTGAGACAGATGGACGTAGGTTGACGTCGCACAGTTGCAAGTGCACTTTGTTGTCCTGGTGCTCGAAAAGAGGATTGCCCTGGGAGGATCGGCTAGTGCTTGGAGGTCACACCTCGGCCGTGCGCTCAGCCTTGGTGTACGCTCGTGATGGCCTTGGCCGTCCATTGCGCATGCTCGAGAAGCTGCTCTTGGAGGTGCGGCTAGGGCGTTTCTTGCCTGACGCCACGAGGAGTGGAAGATTTCCTGGGCCTTTTGCTACAGCACCAGATTTTGACGATGGGGCTCACAGTGAATTTTCGTATGCTCCAAGTCTTGGTTTTGGAGACCCGGTTGATGACACAGCCAACAGCACCTTTCATGATGGCTGGCTGAAACCTGTGGAGCCATGTGACAAGAGTTCAGAAGGTCCCCATGCAGCTCTTGAATGCAAGGTTGAGGCCTCTGGATCCGTTTGGGAACTGGCCGATAGCAGCGAGGTGATTGACTTGGACACTTGCTCAGAGGACAGTGGATGTTCAGTTGCCACCACCTCGTCCAGCTCAGATGAGGAAGCCGCTGAGCTCAGCAGTGCCAGACGGCCAGTGCATCCGCCGAAAGTGCCAAACCAGTTGAAACTCTTGCAGCACAGGAAACTCAAAACGTTGCACCTCATGGAACTGCAGAATCAAAGGATCATGCTTTGCGGAAGGGTGGCTGAGCCCAGCCGTTACGAGAGCGTGCAGGAGACAAGATTCGACACTCCATGTTGCCACACTTGTTGGCGAAAGATGCCGGAGTATGCTTGAGGTCGTGCCCATTGCTGACAAAAAATAGCATGGACACTTGAGTGATTCAGTCGTGCAGTTGTAGGCTTTTGCGGTTTTTCAGATGTCAGTTCACTTGCCAATGTTCTTGGTGCATCATGTGAACTTCAATTTTGAAATCTGGTAATGTCAGAAGATTCTCAACGGTTTCAAATCAGATGCAACACGTCATGACCTCAGCGTGAGTGACTTACTCAGGTATGAGAATCATGTCACTGCATGCATCAAAGAGTTCATTTGCGACTTGTGTTGTTTACTTGCTGCACCAGTGAAATCCAGGGTAATCTGTCAAATTTTCGTTTGACCACCCTGCACTTGGATTCAGCGGCCAATCCATGGCAAGTCACTACATGTGCGTCCTGGGCTCAATCATCCACCAAGCAGATGGTGGGAAACATGATACAGAGGCGTCCATTTTCAAACGAAACTGTTGAGAACATAATTTTTGCAAAATACATCGCTTTCAGGACAAATTTCCGAATGCAACCTTTTCTGAGTGAGGGCCCTGAACCTTCAGGCACGTACTATGTGAGCCCAACAAGGTTTTTGCAATCACATGTATAGATGTCGATGTTTCTCCAACTTACAAGATTTCCGATGCATTTCTTTTGACAAGATTTTTTACACGTTGACGTGTTGCAAGTCATAAGTAAGACTGCTTTCCCATAGTGACTGTGCGAATCCTTAAGGGACTTGCCGTGCTGCCATGTCACTGATAGACTCAGAGGCCGCTTTTCAAAAGCGATGTGATGAGTTGTTGGATGGGCTTCATGACTGGTTCAGTAACTTGCAGATCACAACGTTTTCGAGCTTGGCATTCACAGTTGGAACTCCGCAACAACCAGTTTCGGAACATGACATGCAAAGATTTGCTGATCGAGTTGCTCAGGGTCCTGCATCCATTGCCGAGGTGTCAATTGTTAGACGCATTCACTTTGAGGCACAGACATTGGTGATGTCAGATATCAGGAAGCAGGCAGTGGCTGGTGACACTTCAGAACCATCGAAGTCCTTGCCTTACGTTGAGAAAAGGCGTCGGCTTGAGGCGCAACAGGCTAGGATCACTGGCCTTTCACACATGCATGAACAGAGAGCATCGCATGGCCTTATTGACCTGTGTTTTCACATTGTTGAGTCGGGAGCCCTTTTGTATGTGGCGCCGTCCAAGTGCAGTTCCAGGGATTCAGAGATCCAAGCCGATGCCAAAACCAGACAGAAACAATTGTTGACTCTTGAACAAGGGACATTGAAGGCTGTGTCGGCTGAGTCCTTGCCGACCGTTGACGTTGGCACTGAAATGAAATTGATGTACGCACTGCAGCGTCGTGGATTGGCATTTGATCTTGTGGGATTGATGTCATTTGATGCGCATTCGGAATGGGTGAACAAACTCTTCAGGGCACTCATGGCTGACACCCCAGCTCATTTTCAGGCGCTTAGCTTGCAACACATCATTCGTGCAGACCAGGAGATGTTCCTTTTGCTTGCTTCAGAATATGATGGACCCCTCAAGTCACCGACGTTAGATGGGGAGCCTCCGTTGGATGCACAGCTTCGTGTTTACATGACAGATCCAAGGGTCAACATGTACCTGGTTCCAGCTCCACTCAGTCAGAAGCGTCCAGCGCCTGCAGCCAGTGGTGGTGACAAGCAGCCACAACCTCCAGCAAAGAAACCGCGTCAAGGATCCAAGACGCCTGCCCAGTTGCCAGCTGAGTTGTCAGGCCTCCACACAAAGACATCAGACAACAAACCATTGTGTTGGAATTTCAATTTGAACAAGGGATGTGCAAATGCGACCAAGAGAGGACGCTGTCGTTTTGGTTTTCATTCATGCATGAAATGTCTGAAGGGTGGACATGGGGCACACAAGTGCCACAGCAGTTGACAGGAAGAAAAACCAGCAACACAGCTTGATGGCAGTAAAACAGGAACACCTGTGGCCGCGGGGATCTCAGTGACTCCAGTGGATCGAGTTGTGAACGTTGAAACTTCTGTGAATGAAATTGCGGCTGAAACGTTGCAACCTTGCAGTGTCAATTCAAGATGCATCATCTTAGAAATTTTTGCCGGCAGTGCTCGTCTTTCCAAGGCTTGTAGGAAACTTGGATTTGAGGCTGTAGCTGTTGACCAAACGAAGGATCGGTCTGAGCAGTTTCCTATTTTTCAAATTGATGTGACAGACTCCCAAAGCTTGCATGACTTGGAGAGTTTCATCGATGTAGAGAAAGATGCAATTTTACACGCGCATTTTGCGCCATCATGCGGAACAGCGTCTCGAGCCAGGGGACGGCCAATACCTGGCGAACATCCCAAAGCCGGGCCTCAACCACTTCGGTCCGAAGTCTTTCCTGACGGCTTGCCTGATCTGAGCAGTCATGATCAAGCACGGGTAGACAAGGCCAACCGCAGCTATAGTGCGACTGTGCGCTTAATCAGCAAGCTGATTGCCCATGGCATATCTGTCAGCATCGAAAATCCCAAAAACTCTTTTTTCTGGAAATTTTCAGACGTTGCAAGGCTTTTGGAAACGTTTGGTGCTCGACATTTTTCAGTTTTTCACCATTGCATGCATGGCGGCAAGCGTGACAAGCAGACCGCGTGGTGGAGTTGGAATCCGCGAGATGCCGAAAAAGACATGTTTCAATCGCTTGCATTGCAATGTGATGGACAACACAAACATGAGCCGTGGCGGCCTTACAAAGATGTCCACGGCCGGACGGTTTTCCCTACAAGTGAAGAAGCTGCATACCCGCAGTTGCTGTGTGACCGCGTTGCATGCATTCTCAAGGATGAGGCTCTTCGTTGTGGCTTCGTTTTTTCAGATGACTTGCACCAACAAATTCTGGAAGTGCCTAATGTTGCCACCAGGCAGCTTTTTACAACGCAACCCAAAGGGCAAAAATTGAGACCACTGGTATCCGAATACGGCAAATACATTGCCCTTCTTGCGTCAGCAACAAACGAATCAGAGGTACAGAGTTTTTTGCATAAGCTGCCCAAAGGAGCCAAAGTTTGTCATCGTATTCTGTTTCCTGGGGGTGTTGCTCGAGATGACATGGAGCGCAAATATGAGGAGGTTTTCCAAACTGAGTCATGGGAAGCCGGTGAACCATGTGAACTCTTGCAGGTGGGTATCCCTCGTGAACCGGCTGACTTCATACGTGATGCGGTGCGAAAAGGTCATCCGAGAGATATCATTGCGCAGGTGCCCCAAGAGATTAAGACTGTTGTGCATAGCATGCTGAATGGTGATATGCTGGGGCGCTTCAAGTTGAGGGCCTCCTTTTTGAAGAAATGGCTCAGGCGGTCACTTGAGTTAAAGAATGAGGAGCAGGCCTTGCACCAAAAGCTGCCCCAGCACTTGCAGCGCATTCTCGAGGGAAAGCGCCTCCTTCTTTGGCGTGAAATCTTGGTGGATCTGGATTACCCAGATGTGGCAGTGATTGATGACATTTGCAGTGGCTTCAAGCTTACGGGGTGGGCCCCGTCTACAGGTGTTTTCAGGCCGGACGTCAGAAGACCGTCCCTTGGGGTGCAACAGTTGATCAACATGTCAAAAGGCTTGAATGCCTCAGTTGTCAATTCTCTCCAGGGCGCGGATGAATCCGAGCACGATCAGCTTGTGTGGGATGAGACTATGATGGAAGTAGAGAAAGGTTGGCTGGCTCCTAGCTCTATGGAAGGAGAGTGTTTTGTGGCCAAGCGTTTTCCAGTACCTCAGAAGGAAAAGGTGCGACTTGTGGACGACTTCACGATATGTGGCGTGAATGGTGCCTACGGTTTGAGAGAAAAGCTCCGTGTCCAAGCCGTGGACGAGCTATGTGCTTACTTGGCATTCATGTTGGATCAGGCCCCAAGTGGATGCCTCCCCAAGCTCACTGGCCGCACTTACGATTTGAAGTCGGCCTACAAGCAGTTCGGTGTGGACCAGTGGCATGCAGACAGACTCAAGATTGCGGTCAAGCGACCTGGTGGAGGGGTTGGCATTTTTGCCGCCCTGGCATTACCCTTTGGTGCCTCCGGCTCAGTGAGTTCATTCTTGCGTGTGGCGGCCAGCCTGACATACATAGGAGTGGTTGCTCTCCAAGTCTTGTGGACAAGCTTTTTCGACGATTACACTTGTGTTTGCGTGGAGGGTGAAGAGACGAACGTGTCTTTTTATGTTGAATCCCTCTTTCGCCTTTTGGGAGTGTGGTTTGCGGAGACTGGCTCAAAGGCAACTTCCTTTGGGCCCTCCTTCAAGTCACTTGGAGTAATCTTTGATGTTGGGGCCATTCATGACGGCACCTTCGCACTACAGCATACCGAGAGCAGGAAGTCCGAGCTGATGCAGATTCTTGACAATCTGATAGGTGCGCAGAGGTCGACGCCCAAAGAACTTGAGAGGCTCCATGGAAGGCTGATCTGGTTTAGTGCGTTTGTCTTCGGCAGAACGATGAATCAACTTGTCAAAGCCATCTCGCTTGAGTCTTTACAGAAAAAGAAGGTGTTGGGACTCCTCCTACCAGGAGGATACAAACCTTATTCCTAAATGAAAAATTTTGGTTGATCCAAAATTAGCAATTGGTGTTTTGTGAACTCACGCGTTTAAATGCTTTGCCAAAACAACCTGAAAACTTTTGGAAGTTTTCTTTGAACTGGTTGTTCTTTTCCACTTGTCCATGTTTGTACTAACTGTTTAACATGTCGATGTTTTACAGTTTTCCACTTTCAACCTCTGTGTGAAACACATCTGATCTCCATATTGCATGAGAACCATTTTGGTTTAAGGGAGGGCTGTGGTGGGACCATTCGTGTATTTGTACGCGTAGATGAGCAACGGGGGTTATCGTTTGAGATGACCGTCTTTGCTCCAGACGTTTCTGTGGACGCAGATGTGCCTGAAGGCAACGACAGTTCTGCACTCAGGGAACAAGCTGCGGCCGAGAATGCAGCACTGGAAGTATTACATTGGGAATCTTTACAAGAGGAAACTGCCATTGCAGAAAATGCTGGTTATAGGAACAATTTGTTTGCAGGCGCTTCTGCAGGATCTGGTGGTTTTGCTTCAGATGCAGATTTTCTTCAAGTTTTGCCCATATCCGACAGTGCACATGATGTCAGCGTGATAGACGGTTATTCAGCTGATAATGCATTCAGCCATGCGAGATCCAGGTTGGAGCCACAGAGAATTCAACATTTCTGGGAGTCAGGTTTTTGGAACGATTTCTTCGATCCTAGCAAGAGCTTTCTCTGTTCTTTTGACAGCAACTTCAAACGTCCCGTTGATCCTGTTCATGGAGATGTTCATGAAGTCTTCGAACAACAAGTTGAACGCAAACCGAAAGCTGCAAAACTGCATGCAACGTTCATGGACCATGTTAGGGATGCTAGCATCATGAACTGGAAGGACAAGCGTGAAGCAGACTGGCAAACGGCCATATTCAGGTGGCACTCAATGCTGGGAACTTGGTCGACAGACGTTCAGGTGGTTTCGCAGATTTTTGGTAGAGAAGGCTTCAAGGAACAGGCACAAGTGTTAGTTGACATCTTTTACAACAAGGCCCCATCGACTATTTTAAAACGGTGCAGGAGCATGTCAAAGATGACCAACTACTTTATTGACAGGGGTCGACAGTTTCCTTGTGGGGAGCCGGACATCTATGAGTTCTTGTGTGTTGAACGCGGCAATGGCGCTCCAAGTTCCAGGTTGAAGGGATACATAGAGGCCCTCACATTCTGTCATCATGTTTTGGGTGTTGTGGCATTCGATGACACCACAAGCAGCCGACGATGCCAGGGTGTGGCAGCCTTAGATTTGAACCACAGTGTAAGGCAAGCAGACCCGCTGACTGTCAAACAACTTGAAACTTTGCACCACATTTTATTCAATGATGATGAACTGTGGAATCGAGTTTTTTGTGGCATGCTGCTCTTTTGTGCATATGCTCGATCACGGTGGAGCGACGCACAGCATGGTGAGATGCTCATCGAAGACGTGGACTCGTCGGGAGCTTGTGCTTATTTGGAAGTAGCAACGGGGGTGCATAAAACTGCAAAGGCCTTACAACTGAAACACCAATACCTTCCACTTGTGGCTCCATGTGTAGGCGTTGTCGAGGGCAATTGGGGTGAGGAGTGGTGCAATTGTAGGAAAAAACTTGGCATGCATGACTTGACAGTTTACCCCTTGATGCCGGCACCTGATGCTAGCCAAATACCAACAGTGAGACCTTTGAGTTCGACCGAGGCTGGTAGTTGGATGCGTGATCTTTTGAAAATTGACAGTTCCAACAAGCAGTTCAAAATTACTTCACACTCACTCAAAGCGACATGCCTTAGCTATGCAGCAAAAAGAGGATGTTCTTTTGAGGACCGTTTGAGCCTTGGATACCACACCCATAATTTGAAGATGGCTCTGTGTTACTCAAGAGACGGTGCTGCACGACCATTGCGAGTCTTGGAGCAGATCCTCAAAGAGGTGAGGGAAAAGGTTTTTAACCCGGATGACACCAGGAGTGGCCGACTCAGAGTAGCTCAGAGTTTAGGCAGTGACTTGCACCAGACTGCAACAGACAATGTGATTGACAGTTTTGAGGTTGTTTCACCATTGCAACCTGTTGCTGAGACTGCTGAAAAAACAGATGGCAATGAAGCGGCTGTTGACTTTGAAGAAGTCTCGGTCAGCGACCATGCAACGACAGGCAGCGAAACGGAGAGTGACGTCGATACGACGGTAAGGCCCACTGTGTCTTTCAAGGACATCCAGGCGCCAGATGGGACCTATTTGCACCAACATGCAAAGTTGAAAACATTGCATTTGATGAGGTCTGAAAACAGACGAGTCTTTTGTGTGGACGCACAACAAACAGCAATTACAAGATTGCTGAAGGGCGTCATGCTTTTGACACTCCTAAGTGCCGTCAGTGCTTTCGTGCAAAGCTAGACTGAGACTGAGTGGCAAAACGGTGAGGCGACTTTCGTGTCTCATCATATGGTGTTTTGCATGGAGTGTGCATACTTGGCAACAGGTTCAGGTACCATTTGCGATGTCCATTCATTTTGCCCGATGCTTTCAAGTAGAATTTCGATAGGTATCAGGTCAAGGTGATGTCTTGAATCTCACTCAATTTTCATTAGAATTTTCAGTGATCGAGTTTTTGAATACAGCCTGAAACTCAGACTTGTCGGTTGGCAATGATTAAGCTTTGCACATCGACGAGAGAGAGGTTCAAGGATGTTGGCACGTGAGCTCTCAGTGGGCCAAGTGTGCGGGCACGACTTTTGCAAGTTAAAACTCATTTTCATTTCACAAGCATCATGAGGAAACTTTTGCATGAACATGGCCTGCTGGGCAGATGTTGCATTGCAAAACTCCATGATAGCCTTTTTATATGCAGTACTTTTTCACGTCGTGGGCGTGCAGAAACTTTGACACTTGTAGTTGGACTTCAGTCAGAACCAAAGCTATGGCCTTGGTAGATTCTGAAGCTGCCTTTGCAAGTCACTGCAATGCCGTTGACAAAAGCCAAGAGCTCTTGAACATTTGCGTTCGAGCTGAGCTGACAACGTTTATGCGTATGGCATTCGCAATCGGCACACCTCAGATGCCGGCGAGTGAAGAAAGTTTCAAAACATTTGCAAGTGATTTGAACGGAGGAACCGAACCTTCTATTACAATGATGTCCTTGCTGAGGAGGTTGCACTTTGAAGCAGTTACAATGGTGGTAGCGCACTTGAAAACAAACGTGACCACGGATGCTGGGGTGGAAGGGTCAAGGAAACTACCACCCGTAGAAAAGGTGGCAAGATTGCAGGAGCAACAGGGTCGTTTGAAGGGCCTTACAATCAAGGGAGAAATGCAGCCATCCTATGCCTTGATTGATTTGATCTCGGGCATCCATGACAGTGGCTCAATTGTTTGGGTGCCGCCTAGCAAGTGCACAAAGCGAGACTCAGAGGTGCAACAAAGCCTCAAAGAAAAACCCACCACTTTGACTGTGGAGCAGCAGACGCTGAAGCTTGCAGCGGGCGAGCCCAAGATCAGGGCCGATACATCCAACGAACTTCTGATGCAATGGGCTTTACAGAGACGTGGATTAGCTTTTGACCAGTGCAAACTCATATCGAACGACATCCATGACAAGTGGGTACAAGCGTTGCTCATGCAGTTGACGCGGGAGTCGCCGAGTGGCTATGCTAAGGTGACTATGGAGCAAATCCTACGAGCAGACAAAGAATTGTTCACCCTGATGTCGCAAGAACACACGGGGCCTTTCAATGTTGGACCCAAGGGAGAGCTGCCTTTGGATTTGTTGATGACACAGTTGATGCACGATCCTCGCATCAACTTACACTTGCTTCCCCTTCCCAGTGCGTCAGCCAGAGCAGCATCAAGCTCACCTGTGGATGAAGGAGCCCCCAAGCCATCAACGCCAAGACCTATACAGCCGAGAAAGAAAGCGCGCGCTTCTGCCAAAGCTCGTGCCAATTGCCCTGATGAGCTCAAAAGTTTTGGCCAGTTTGATGACAAGGGTACTCCTATATGTTGGGCTTTCAACCAGAGCAAAGGGTGTCAAGAGGAAACCAAGGATGGCAGATGCAAGAAAGGCATGCACGTTTGTATCAAGTGCAAGCGCAACAATCACAGCTTGGTGACGTGCAGAGTGAAGAAATCCTGACTTAAGGGCAAGGGAAAACGTCACAATAATTTTTCACCTCGGGAATTTCACCGACGCGATGAAAGCAGTCGCAACAATGATGAGCAGCCACAAGTGAACAATGACAATCGAGACGATTGCAAAGCTGCTGACAAACCTGTGGTTCAACAAGAACCTGTTTTCACTTCAGAAGATATCCCTAATGGGAGAGATTTTCACTGTGTTTTCCCTCAAGGGGACAAACGTTTGGATAGAGACTCTCACGGTGATGTCCTTCAAGGGGACAAACGTCTGGATGGTTTCCGACTTGATGAAGTCATGGTTTTGGAAATCTTCGCAGGCACAGCACGCCTGTCGAGAGCAGTACGAGATGTGGGAATGAGTGCAATGGCCATTGACAAAGATTCACAACGAGCACAATCTGTGCACATTGCGGCCTACAACTTAAACGAGCCCGACCAAGTCGCGGCTTTGTCTGACTTTATCGGCAAACACTCCCACATCATTTTATGGGCGCATTTTGCACCATCTTGCGGAACGGCTTCAAGAGCAAGAGGCAGACCTCTACCAAAGCTGGCAAAAATGGGCATCAAAGTGCCGCAACCTTTGCGTAGTGACAGCAAGCCCATGGGCATGGACGGCCTTTCTGGTTTGGACAAAATAAAGGCAGAGTGCGCAAACATTACATATGAGAGCACATGTGAGCTCATGCGTTTGTGCATACGGTTGGGCATTGCTGTGTCGCTGGAGAATCCCAAAAATTCTCTTTTCTGGAAAGTTCCCATGGTAGAAGCTTTTCTTTTGGAAGTTGGTGGATACAATACAATTTTTGACAACTGTTGCCATGGTGGCACACGGAAAAAGGCCACATCCTGGTGGTCCAATGTGGACTGGTTTACAAGCCTTGCTGCCCAGTGCGATGACTCGCACTACCATCAGAAGTGGAATGCTGAAGTCATAGATGGTCGCGTGGTTTTTCCAACTCACCTGGAAGCTGCTTATCCCATTTTGTTGTGCGAACGTTTGGCAACAATTGCAAAGCTCAAGGCACTAGAGCTTGGCGCCACTGAGATACAAGACTTGGCACAGCAGATTGAACAGGCGCCTTCGTCTCAGCACAGGTTTTTATTAGACATGTTGCCAAAGGGACGCAAATTCAAACCACTGGTTTCTGAATATGGTTTCTACGACAAATGGGCAGCAGTCACAAACCTGAATTTTTCTGAACAGCAATTTTTGCACAATTTTCCCAAGGGAACAAAAATAGTGCATCGACAGTTGTACAAGGGTGTTTTTCGGGTCGATGCAAGTGAAAACAAGGACATCAAATGTCACACTTCATGCACGGCAGAACACTCTGCATATGAAATCCTGACGCTTGGCATACCACGAGAACCTGTAGACTTTTTGAACAAAGCCGTATACGCAGGACACCCCAGGTCCATTGCCATTCATTTACCAGATGCAGTGAAAAGCGTTTTGGATCAAAATTTTGCTGGAGATGAATACCAACTCGCCAAGGAGCGTGCAAGCTTTTTGTGGAAGTGGAGCAATAGGGCAAAAGAGCTGGCTAGTGCTGAGAAACAGCTTCACGAGAGCTTGCCTGAACACTTGCGTCATTTGCTTCGGGGAAAAAGACTTCTACTTTTGAAAGAAGTGCTTGAGGACCTGCAATACCCGGACACAAAACTCTTTGATGAAATCACTCAGGGCTTTACTCTGCATGGTTGGATGATGGAGTCAAATGTTTTTCCAAGAGACCAAGAGGCCGGAGTATACACTTGACATGGTGAAGAACATGGCCAAAGGCGTGAACAACATGATATATAGTCAGGTAGTGGGCACGCCGGATGACGAACTTTCTCGAAAAACCTGGGACAAAACCTTGGAAGAGCTTGACAACAACTGGGTTTGGCGTGACGTGACCAGTGATGCTGGAGACGTAGTGATGGCCAAACGTTTTGGCCTACAGCAGAAAGAGAAAGTCAGGGTCATTGACGATTGTTCAGTGGGTGGTTACAACAAGGCCTATGGAACAAAGGAGAAACTTCGAGTTCACGCCATTGACCAACTAGCAGCATACCTCAGCTGGATTTGCACAGCTCATGGCACCACTCTGGACGATGAAATAGTCGGCAGGACATACGACCTGCGTAGCGCGTACAAGCAGTTTGGGGTTAGCTTGGAGACTAGAGATGTTTTGAGACTGGCTGTTTGGGACGCCGACCAGAAGCGACCGTGTCTTCTGGGACTCAATGCTTTGCCCTTCGGGGCGTCTGGTTCAGTTAGCGCTTTCTTGAGGGTCAGCATGGCTTTGTGGTTCATGGGGACGGTTGGCTTGAAACTCTGCTGGACGGTTTTCTATGATGACTTCACCTTGATATGCAAGAGACGCATGTGCCATGGGACAGGTATTGCAGCAGAAGCTCTTTTCGAACTTTTTGGAATGTGGTACGCTAAGGATGGTACCAAAGCAGTGCCTTTTGATGTTTCCGTACGTACGTTGGGATTGCATGTGACGCTTGGAAATGCAGCTAAGGGCTTTTACGTAGGCCACACTGATGAACGTAGAGCTGAGCTGAAAGCAGCGTTGGAAGAAGTTTTGGAAAAGAAAACAATAGAACCTAAGCAGGCCGAACGTTTACGAGGCCGCATGCAATGGTTTGAAGGGTATGCTTTTGGAAGGGTGGCACAGTACAGTTTGAAAGTACTTGGCGAGCTATCCTTAAAAAGCAAGAAACATGTGACTTTGAATGACAAAGAAATGCAGGCCGTGGCATACCTTATTCAACGTGTTTCTGAAGCTCGGGCCATAGAGATTGGCCCTGTTTCCTTGGATACTTTCCTCATTTTTACAGATGGTGCCTGCGAAGGCGATTCCTCTCGCATCGGCAGTGTGGGGGGCGTGTTGGTAGGGCCCTCCGGACATTGCCTTCAGCACTTTTCTTCAGAGGTCCCAACTGACTTCATGCGAGAGGCGTTGGCCTGTTCTGCAAACCCCATATACGAACTGGAGCTGTTACCAATTTACATAGCCCTCCACATTTGGGGGAAAAGGGTGCATTCCACACACTTGGTGTGTTACCTGGACAACGACGCGGCAAGGGCGGCGTTATGCAAAGGGTATGGCAGCACTGAGCTTGCCCAACGAATTGTTGGATGTGCTATGCAGCTTGAGAGTCGTTTCAAAACAAAGTCTTGGTACGCAAGGGTACCATCACACTCTAACATCTCTGATGGTCCAAGCAGATTGGACTGTAAAGAGGTGGAGCAGTTGGGGTCGAAACAAATTGAGATAGACTGGGATGTTATCCTTGAGAATCTCTTTGGAGTTTCGGGTGCATCTTCAAAAAGGGGAGAGCACGGGCACACCGAATGATCCCCAACTGCGTTGGTTAGAAAAAGGTGTGAGCAGTGAAATCCGTTCGCATCGTTTTGTTTGATTCGTAATTTACGGATGTTTTAATTTTCATCCAAATTTATTTGGCGAAGTTTTAATTGTACGCGCGTGTAAACACAATTGCGGTTTCAAAAAAGGAATAAGTTGGGACTCCTCCTACCAGGAGGATACAAACCTTATTCCTAAATGAAAATTTTTGGTTGATCCAAAATTAGCAATTGGTGTTTTGTGAACTCACGCGTTTAAATGCTTTGCCAAAACAACCTGAAAACTTTTGGAAGTTTTCTTTGAACTGGTTGTTCTTTTCCACTTGTCCATGTTTGTACTAACTGTTTAACATGTCGATGTTTTACAGTTTTCCACTTTCAACCTCTGTGCGAAACACATCTGATCTCCATATTGCATGAGAACCATTTTGGTTTAAGGGAGGGCTGTGGTGGGACCATTCGTGTATTTGTACGCGTAGATGACCCACCCAAACTGTTGCCAGTTTACCCACCCTTTTTCCTTCGGGTTCTATGTTACAGCCTAGCCCTAAGCCTAAGAGCACGGGCACACCGAATGATCCCCAACTGCGTTGGTTAGAAAAAGGTGTGAGCAGTGAAATCCGTTCGCATCGTTTTGTTTGATTCGTAATTTACGGATGTTTTAATTTTCATCCAAATTTATTTGGCGAAGTTTTAATTGTACGCGCGAGTAAACACAATTGCGGTTTCAAAAAAGGAATAAGATCACCTTCACCCCAGATTTTCTTCAGACCTTGATGGACTTGAAGCATGCGATAGGGTCCTCTAAGCCTGTGGTGATTTCTAAAACTCTTTGTACCACTTGGTACGTCTTTACTGACGGCGCATATGAGCCCGATTCAGATGTTCTTGCCAGCATTGGTGCAGTCTTGATTTCACCGACAGGTACTCCAGTTCAGTGCTTTGGAGAGGTCGTCCCTAAGACCTTCGTGGACGAGCTGTTACAGCATTCTTCTCATCCTATCTACGAGCTGGAAGTGCTTCCGGTAGTCATGGCCACGCGCCTGTGGATGAAGTATCTCACAGGGTGCCCCACAGTATACTTCCTTGACAACGTTGCGGCCAGAGCAACGTATATCAAAGGTGTTGGCGCTACGCCTCCTTCCATTCCTTTGCTCAAAGACTTTGTCCGTTTAGAGGCTAGGTTGAAGATTTATTCGTGGTTCGGTCGAGTGCCGAGTCATTCGAACGTAGCGGATTCTCCAAGCCGGCTTGTCTTTGATGACCCAGTCCTGTCGGGCTGTCCTCGAGTGCGGATCGTGCTTCCAACTCACGTTCATGAAATTGGGGATGGCTCAGGGTGAGTTGGAAAGCCATTCCAACCCAAAACAACCTGGTCGATCGTTCCCCACAGCATGGTGAAAAAAGGATGCGTTGTCCGAGTGAATTCGAGGGTTCTTCGTTTCATCCAGTGTACATGTCATCAGTGAAACGTTTTTTGTCACACATGACTGTTTGCGTGGTTACATGTTGTTTTGCATGATTCATTTGGCGATGCGATCCGAAGCGACGAGGCGTTTGTTTTTATTTTTGTTTATACCTTTTTTATCCACACGACGGTGGTGTTGATCAAGGTATTACTTTATGTTGAGGGGTACTTGGGGCGTGGCGCTTTAAACTGACCTG